TGCCAAAAAAAAAAAAAATGAGTAAGCTCAGAACCAGTGGCTCACGCCTATAATCCTGGCTATTCAGGAGGCTGAGTTCTGAGGCTCATGGTTTAGAGACAGCCAAGACCAAGTCTATGAGACCTTTATCTCCAATTAACTAGCAAAAAGCCAGAAGTGGAGCTGTGGCTCAAGTGGTGGTAGAGCACTAGCCTTGATCAAAAAAAGCTCAGGGATAGCACCCAGGCCCTGAATTCAAACTCCAGGACTAGCACAAGAAAAAAAATTTTAATGAGATAAATAAAACTTAAGTACTTCCTAAATTAGTAAGTGCTAGAAGTTGACTTTGTGTGTCAAGAGCTTGGATTGTCTACAGTTGGATTAGGTAGATGATTTTTATTTTCTGGTCCTAGGGTTTGAACTCAGGGCCTGGGCACTGTCCCTGAACTTCTTTATACTCAAGCTAGCACTCTACCACTTGAGCCACAGCACCACTTCCAGCTTTTTCTAAGTAGTTTATTAGAGATAAGAATTTCACAGACTTTCCTGCTGGGGCTGGCTTTGAACCACAATCCTCAGATCTCAGCCTCCTGAGTGGCTAGGGTTATAGGCGTGAGCCACTGGCTTAGGGAGATGATTTTTAAACAGCTTCACCGTCCCTTACCTCCTGCCCTGATCTGTTCCCTTCCCTCACCCCACTGCTGACATAATTCATGGCTCTGGCTTCTTATTTGTTTGAAGCAGATCCCTGCAGGGATGACCTCTCAGTGTCTTCAATTATTATTTTAAATGATGCCTGAGGCTAGTGCCTGGCACAGTAGTCCCTTCACCTTCCCACCTCTGGCTTCCAAGCCTGGGAGCTCAGCTGCCAAACTGCCTGTAACCCCTCCTGTCCTCAGAGAGGCCCCCCCCAGAGTCCCAGCAGAGCTCCAGATTAACCCCTTTTGTTAGCAGAGGTAATTTGCCTGGGTTTAGCATTTATAAGAATGCCTTAAGCAGTTAGGGTCAGAGAGAACAGATCTGTCAAGCCCCAGGGTTAACTTAATAGCAATCTGTTGGATGTCTAGATTGTATATTAGCTGGGGGTGGGGGGGGGGGGCGGTTAGGGCAGGGGAGGGAGTCAGTGTTATCTTTTGCTTTTGCACTTTAGTTCTTTGGGGCAATGGGAGAGTAGTTTCGATTGAGAGTTCTAAAGGATAAGGTAGAGAAAATTGACTGTCAAAAAGCATCTTCCATTTTCCAGATAATACAGGGAGGCATGCACTGCTCATCACCTTTTTCCATCCTTTCTAACCCACAGGGGAGACTGTATATGCTAAAATGCTTTTAAAAAAAAACAGCCTGAGGAAATGTCTTGACTTTTTAGGAAATGCAGTGAACTTTTCTCCCTTCTTCCCTATATACCACTGACAACTAGACTCTCTCCTGCATGTTTCATGAACTCAGCAAGTCCTGTATTAGAAAACAAGTCAAGAAACCCCTCACCAGGTTTTTGTCCCAACTTCTAGCTCAAAAACAAAATCCATTCAGCTGGATACCACTGGCTCATGCCTATAATCGTAGCTACTCAGGAGGCTGAGCTTTAAGGAAAGTCCATGAGACTCTTTATTTCCAATTTACCAGGAAAATGTCAGAAGTGGAACTGAGGCTAGAGTGCCAGCCTTGAGTGGATAAAAACTAAGGGATAGCTCCTAGGCCCTGAATTCAAGCCCCTGCTTTGGCAAAAATGAAGAAAAAAGAAAAAAAATCTTTCTAGGACATAAAAATTCTGGTTGTAGAAAACATCACCGAAGTGATGGGTGAGTTAGGGCTCAGACCTAAAGCACAGGAGACAAATTTACAGGAGACAAATTTCCCTCTTGGATTGGCCAGACCTCCCTCCTTTCACACTCAGAAAGATTGGTTCAGTGGGGCTGTACCTCTCAAGAGGAGGAAACAGCGGCACTGAGCAGAATCTATGAGCATCCCCTTACCCTCCCGGCCCCGGGAAAGTGTCCTTGATGCAGGCAATGTGCCTGCCACTTTGTTTTCACATGTTCTGACTGCAGGGCTTTATTTTTAGGTGGGGAAAAAATAGCTGTGGCTGTAGCACCTCCCCCTCCCACCCAGCAAAGATGTCTTCCAGTTCAGCTTGTTTTTCTGAGCTATCCTGGTAGAGGTTGAGAAAGCTGACACCAGATTTTCTTCCCCTATTTTGGGAAATGAGAAACCAGCTCGCTGGCACCCGTAGGACATCAAGACTTTGTGGAGGGTGATGAAATCTGACAATCGCTGAACACTGAGTTCTGCATACCCCTCACCCCCCACCCCTCACCCCATGCTGTGGCTGCAGAGCCCAAGGCCCAGATCAGCAGCTGGGAAGGACCACAGAGCCTCAGCCTGCAGACTCCCGAGCAGCCAGAAGTACTCCTGGGTGTGTACTAACTACACTCTTGTTCGTAACTCTGACAGAAGTGAAGCTGGAAGGTGGTATTTTTGTGAATCCAAGAATCCACATGCCCTAGAGACCCAAGTCAGATTTGTATCTGGGTTTGTTAGGGAAGGTTGTACCAAGATGTAATGTTAGCTTGGTCTTAAAACTAATTTTAGAAAGAACCCAACAGGATAATTGAAGGGGAAGTAGGCACAGCCAAGTACAAAGCCATTGTTGTAACAAATTGCATGTTGGACTAGCTCTAGCAGGAGCATAGGTGATGTTTTATAGGAGGTGGCTAGTAGAACTAAGAATATCAGTGTGTTTGGCCCCAACTCACATCTGAAGCAGGGATTGTGCTTAATGAAGAGCATCTGTAGGATAGTCGGTGACAATTATTGCTTATTGATTCAATGCATTGCTTTGCATAGACATTTGCATTTTAATTGTTACACATTTGTTTTCATGTAGATAATTAAATGTAACTAGCTCGTGATATTATGAACATTGGGTTCTTGCTTCGATGAGACTAAGTTGAGAAAAACAAAGCAAGCCAACTTAAAGATAATTTGAAGACAATCATATAAGTTTAAAAAAAAAAAAAAAAAGGCTGCTGGGTGCAAAAGCTGAAGCCTGTAATCCTAACTACTTGGGAGATGGAAATGAGGTTTACAGTTCAAAGCCAGCTTGTGCATAAAAGTTCAAGGGACTCCATCTCACTCAATGGCTGAGCACAGATGCCCACCTTTTATCCCAGATTATAGAGGAAGCACAAAGGCTGGGTTTAGTGGCACAGGCCCATCATCCCCAAAGCACAAGTAGAAGAATTGCAGCCCAGGCTAACTTGGACATAAAACAAGACCTTCCCTTAAAAATAACAAATGCAAAAAGGGTTGGGGGTATGGTTCAAGTGGTAGAGCACCTGCCTACCAGTTGTATGGCCACGAATTCAAAAATAAAGAAAAACCTACTCAGGGCTACCGAGCTGAGGCTAAAATTACAAAGAGGGCCACTGTGGTCAAAGTTACTGTGGAAAACATCCACATCACAGAGTGTGATTCCTTTTAGAAAGGTGTTGGGTCCAAACTTCTGCCCCAGCCAGGTGGCTTGTAGGTTCTTGTTAGGGGTATGAAAGGATCCCAGCAGACTCGTTTCTTCATTGATGCCAGATACTTCACAGAGGGTATTCACCCCCACTGAATCACCTTCACAGACACAAAGCTAAGAGTTCCATTCTTATCTAAGGATGTGTCCTTAAAAAAAATAGATGTACAGACTTTTAACTCCTGTTTCCTGCATGGGGAGCAGGAAACAGCTTTTCTCCTTTTTCATCTCTCTCTACTTCATCTTGTTTACTAGAATAAATCCTTTCTAACATACACACACAAAAAATAGAGGTATAATCTTGATCAGAGAGGAAAATACTGAAGAAAAACATGATACAACTAAGAGCGTGTTAGCTTTATGGAAGTACACTCCATAGGAACCTAGGTCTCTCCAGCCACATGTAAGTGGCCTTGTTTCTGATACTTAAACTCCCACCAGACCATCAAAGAAAAATCACAGCTCGTGGAGACAAGAGGGCCTGTACATCCAATTCTGCATGGTTATGAAACAGCCCCAGGTTTTTGCACCAGGAGTGAAATCTAAATGTTGTCACTCACCAGCCATCTGTTTTGAGGCAGGTTATTTCGTGAGTCCATTTCCACCTCCACAAATGGCTGTCAAGAAAGTATTGCTTATACAAATTGTCATGAGAAGTACAAGATATGCTTTGCCAGGGAATGCCCTATACTAAGTGCTCAATAAACAGTGGCAGCCATTGTTGTCACTATCACTATATTATTAAGCGAGGTCGTGGAGGCTTTCATGGAAAAGATTTGCCATCTGCTATAGAGATTGTTTGCCAATCTAGGAGTCTAGGTGACATTCAAACAAAGTGAATCATTCGATTGGAATAGAACTAGTCCTTTACTATCAGGAAACAGGCAGCAAAAAGTATTTATAACATGCCTGGCACAAATTATGCCTGTCATCCTAGCTACTCAGGAAGCTAAGATCTGAGGATTGCAGTTCAAAGCCTGCCCAGGCAAGCAAGTCCATTGAAACTTTTACCCCCAATTAACCACCAAAAGGCCAGAAGTGAAACTGTGGTTCAAGTGGTAGTGTGCTGATCTTGAGCAAAAAAAAAGCTCAAGGACAGCTCAGGGTTCAGGTCCTGGGTTCAAGACCTAGTGCCAGCACATGCATACACTCATAGCAAGGCTTTGCAGGTTGGCCTATTTTATTTAGCATGACAGTGTGAGCAGATGACATTAATCTTGCATCCATGTCTTCTACAAGTCTGAAAGGCCTGAACCATGATAAGGAGTCAGGAGACCTGAGTTCCAATGCAACCTCTGACTACTCAGGAACTGTGGTCCGTTAGGGTCCCTGAGCCTTATGTCTTTGAAACCGGAAACATTTTCCTGCAGTCAGGGTTGCCAAGAAGCCCATCCCGTGTGTGTCCAAAGCTGCCCTGCTCCACTCCCAGCGTGGGTGCTGTAGCTTACCCTCCCATTCCTCCCTGCCCATTCCTCCCATTCCCTCCTTGACTCGCCTGTGCCAGACATCGTGGACATCAAGCCGGCCAACATGGAGGAGCTCACAGAGGTGATCACGGCGGCTGAGTTTCACCCGCACCACTGCAACACCTTCGTGTACAGCAGCAGCAAAGGGACAATCCGACTGTGCGACATGCGGGCGTCGGCCCTGTGTGACAGGCACACCAAGTGTGAGTTGCAGAAGGGACGAGGGCTGGGAGAGGGACTGGACTCTGACACGTGGGAGGAGGGGGCCACCAGGCAGGGGTCGGGTCTCACTTGATACATGGTTAACCTGACTCAGAAGTGGGCTGGATGGTCAGCGTTTCCATAGAGACGAAACCCTCCTATTCCATTCCACACCACGCAAGCGCAGAGGTGAGGCCAGTGGGCAGGAGTTTAAACAATCACAATAGCCATCTTGTCAGTTACATGCTGAGATGTCACTCACGCTGTGGCAGGGACGGGACAGTAGTGTTCGGGAACAGCCAGGGAGACTGTGAAAGGGGGGGCCTGGGCCGGAAGGCGGCATGGACCCCAGGAGAGACTATGGTCAAATCTTGGCAGCAGAGTGAACGGGGATTTCAGGGGACAGAGGATTGTACAGCCAAGAACAGCAACTGGGGAAGGAGCTTGTGACTCCTTAGAAAAACCTGGGCTTTGGGAACCAGCACCCTAAAAGTGGTTCTAGTGGGCATTAAAGCCCCCATTGGGCACTTAGCATAGTGCACAACCAGGCTGGTGGCACTCAGGTGGCCCTGGAGGTGTTGAGGGTGCTGAGACAGTAGTGCAGGCTGAGGGCTAGCACCCAGTGCTGGCTGGAAGTGTGGAAGGCAGCCTCAATGCTGTGGGCAACTCCATGGTGTGCAGAAGGACAGGGTTATGTAGCATAGAGTTGTGAGCAAAATAGTGTGGCAGGCAGCAGTGCAGGGTTAGGTGGCACGGAACTGCAGGTGTGACTTTACACCCATGGAGCCATTTGGGACCTTGATACGGGGTGAAGCTGTGTGAGGTTACTTTGTATGGGGCTGGGCTGGGCTGGGGTGCAGATGCCCAGGGTCATGTACCATTATGTGAGGCTATACCTTGTGCAGGTGAATAGGGGTTTCAAAGCATGTGTGGCGCTACACTGGGCTGGCATGGCATGTCCACCAAGTGTGCAGGTATGCGGGAGTCACGCATCTGCAGGTTCATAAGGATAATGAAGCATGTGGGTCTGGGGTGCAGCCATGTAGGACTATGCCATGTGCACCCACCAGAATGCTCAGGTATGGTGAAACTGCGGGTGCCCCCTCACCAGCAGATGCTGATCTGTACTCTAGTCTAGAGCAGAGTCAGAAATGAAGTCTACCTCCCCTTCTAGGATTCAGTTTCCATCCTGTGACGTGTGGATGATCTGAAGGCTCCACCCCGGTGGCTGTAAAGAGGGGAACTTCTGAGTGGCGGGGCGGGGGGGGGGGGGGGGGGGAGGGGAGGGGAGGGGAGGGGAGGGAGGGGAGGATGGGCGTGTGCACAGAGGAGCCTTGCAGTGGTGTGGTTCTCCCCTGCTTCTCCTTTTAGCTGTCATCCCCTTCCAACATCCTTCTTTCGCATCTTCTGTCTTATAGGAAGCAGGTAAGGTAATCCACACAGCCACCTCATGCATTGGTCCTCAGATTAGATGAGATCTGTGTGTTTAAAAATTCAGCTATTTTCTATTCCATTTTTTTCCCATACTTAGCTTACATTGGATCACCCATATTTCAAGTGTTCAAAAGCCAAGAATGGCTAGAGGTTAACCATATTAGGGCCAATTTGGTACATTCTGTTATTGCAGAAAATTCTAGAGGGTTCTGCTGGCTGCAAGAGCACATGGACTGTTCTGTCTTGTTCATATCTGCTTCTCTAGCACCCTTCCCTCTGCCTGGCCAGCCCAGGTGCTTCAGAAATACCGATGTTTTGCTAGAGTTGGTCTTTGAGCAGTATATTTACGTATGCTGACAAGGAGGAAACATTTGATGCAGAAGGATCAGCCTATGCAGAGATACCGAGGCATCAAAAATAACACATTTGTGGAGGTGTTCAGTGACTGGTATGGCTGGTTTGCAGGGAATGACTGTCCATATTCTCTAGGTCATATGGGTATGAATAACTCCACCCCCCCCATTGCATTGTGGGGTCAAATCTGTAAATAGCAACCAAAATAATCAGGGATGTCAAGTGATCTAAACTGGTTTTTAGAGGAAGAGTTTGGACAGCAGGAAGAAGATGGAAGGTGAGTTCTGGCTGCCATAGTAAGGAGAATAAATGTCTGGGGATGATACTGTAGCTTGCCCACAGAGTTCTTTGGGGAAATGAACCCACACTGTGTATCGTGGGTTTGTTAGCAGCAGCCCTGGCCTTGCCCACTGGATGCCCATAGCACAAGCCCAATTGTGACAGCAAAAAAAACAAAAGTGTCCAGACATTGTGACCTATTCCATAGGAATGGTCTAGGCCCAGTCACCCCATATAGAAATCTACATAGGACCTGATCAAGTGAGGAACACAATGAAAGGTTTCAGGCGGTAGGTGCAGAATGAACAGAATTCTGAGGTTAATAATGAGTACCTGGAATCCTGAGAGAGAGAGAATGAGTCAGGCTCAGAGGAAAAGAGGAGGGTTGAGTTGCTGTGGTAGTTTGTGTGATGTTGGTGTGACATTGGTCCTTGAAGATGAGAGTCAGAATATATTCATCCAGCCAGCCATCAAGTACCTACTTCACACCCATCACTGGGGATACTGTACTGAGGGGTTACAAATACATGAGTAAGGTAAGGAGCACATTCCTATCAAGCACTGTTACCCCTTCCTTTGTTTTCCCCTACTATTCCTTCCCTTCTCATCCTTCTTACATGTGTCCATGTCTAACAATCCTAGGCCCAAGCCATAAGCTCCACTGCCATGAAAGAATAGCACAAAGGCAATGCAGCCTCTCTGGTGCCCTGGGCAGGGCTTGTCAATCAGCCAGGGCAGACAGCACATACCTAGCCCATTCCAGCCATCCAAGGGAGGTGCCAATCGTACCACCTAAGATTTTCACTTTGTGTGTGTGCATGCACACATGCAGATGTGCCAGTCCTAAAGTTTGACTTCCGTGTCAAGCTAGTCCCTGAGTGCTAGTCCTAGTGCTCTACCACTTGAGCCACAGCTCCATGTCCAGCTTTTTTTTTAATGGTTAATTGGAAATAATAGTCTCACAGACTTTCCTACCCAGGCTGGCTTTGAACTTTGATCCTCAGATCTCAGCCTCCTTAGTATATAGGAGCCCTGTGTCACCAGCACCCAGCCGTCTTTAACTTTTCCTTTTTCAACAAGTTTAACAAGGATTAGTAGGGATAAACAGGATAAAGTGAGGAGATACAAGACAAAGAGGGAGTTACTCAAAATGGTGGTTCTGGCCATATTTCAAGTCTTACATTTCTGTCTAAAGTTTTATTTGAATTCTGCAGAATATACCCATAAAATGTCTATTTTCGTTTTAATAATCTTCTAAAGCAATGTTCCCCAAAGATGTAACATTGTTCATATATCTTCCTATGCTTCATGGTACACCTCAAATCCTACCCAGCCCTCTTGGACCCCTAAGGATCTGTGCACAGATCTGAGCTTCAGAAGCTCATTTCCAGCTGTGTAAGGGTGGTCTGAGTCACTCAGCTGAGATGAGAGGTGTTTGGAGTTTGGTATTACAAAAGATTTGTGCAGTGTAGTATCGGAAAGCTTTACTTGAGCCTCAATATAAGAGACAACGCATAACAGAATAGCCTGTGACTGTGGAGATCAGAAAAAAGGGGACAGATAAAGAGACATCTGTAGATCCATGTGTGTTACCAGTGATGTTACAGGACGGCTTTGTCCACACATAGAAATGGTGGGTATTGCTGAGTGTCAGGGACAGTGATCCATTTGGCTAACATCAGATGGCCAAAGCCTGACACGTAAGTAGATATTTAGTCAATAGATGAATTTATTCCCCCAAACTGGCACACGTGGCATGCGGGAATGGGGGCACTGGGAGGCTGTAGCGGACAGTGAAGCAGCAGGGTTCAGTTGAGACATGTTGAGTGTGTGGTGACATTAGCGGCCCATGGATTGTGAAGGCAGGACCAGGCTGGAGGTCACTAACCCAGGCATCTGCCAGGGGAGGGCAAGGAGTCCCAGTGTCCTTCCAGCCCAGTGTGCCAGCTACTACATGTAAGGGAGACCCTGGTATTGGGGAATAAACTCACCAAGAAGCTTGATGGCTTTGGAACTCAGGATGACGGAAGGGGATGTCTTTAGGTTTTGGAGCGAGATCAATTTAGAACAGATGCTCTGGGAGCCAGGTGCAGTTAGCTCAGGTCTGTAATCCCAGTGATGCAGGAGACAGAGGTAAGTGAGAAGATTACGATGCTGAGGGGCCCACCCAGGCAAGAAGTTCTAGAGCCCATCTGAAAACTAATAAGCAACAAGGGCTAGGGAGTGATTTGAGTGGTGCTTGCCTCGTACACATGAGGCCCTGAGTTCAAAATCATAGTAACACACACACACACACACACACACACACACACACATGATGGTTTGGGACCAGAGCTCAGCCCTGATGCTCGGTGCCTGTGTGTTACCTGGCAAGTAATTTAGCCTCTGAGCTCCAGGTTCCTCCTGTGAAAACGGAAGGATTAAGGGCAATGTCACAGGGCTGTCAGCCATGGAAGCCCCATCCCACCCTACTGGACACACAGAGTCAGTGCACAGTTATCACAGCTCTTCTTCCTGAGTCCCTCTGTTCCCAGCCTGCAGCTCAAAGTCGCTCAGATATGGGAGGTGCCATTCATTTTTCGTTTCATTTCTTAATATTCATTGAGCACATATATGACATATAACAGGCACTCTGTTAGACTCTGGAACACCTTGATGAGCAAAAAGCAGATATAGTTTCCTCTCTGTTAGAACTTAGGTGTTGGGATTCTCCAAACAAGACCAAGTTGTAAGGGGGGGGGGAGGGTTAGAGTTAGGGGTTAGGGTATTACAAGAAATTGACCTAGATAGTGATTATGAAAGACATCAGGATGAAGGCCCAGGAGAGCCAACATCCCAGTCCAGGTCCAAGGGAGCCAAGCAAGTGCCCCAGCAGTAAGGCAGCCATGGAGAGAGGAAGTCCCTTCCACTCAGTAGGGCCAGCCTCTCTCTACTC